TTGCAGTTGTATAGTTGACCAACCTTTTTGCAAAGAAAGGTAAGTACTGCAGAAAATTTTAGGGGGAAAAATGTCCTAATATTTGTTTGATGAGGCTTTTTCTGTCTCCTGTTAGTGAATCCAAAATCATAGTACTGGTAATCATTGACGCTACTTTTGCAATGAGTTTCAATTCACAATAGCATCTAATGTTATTATCTTAATCAGAAATTTTTCATCTGAAGTTTTACCAATCAATTACTGTTTATATTATTTATGCGTTTGTCTTTACCCTTGGGCCCTAACATACTTTAAATATTTTATATCTCTGAGAAAAAATATCACTTTTCATATTAATCTTCACGATTTTCTAATGTGTTTTAGGCTAGATGTTCACATTGGGCATTTCTGAAAATCCTTGATCATTTTTGCTTGATATGGTTTCATAGTGTTTTATTTTTTTTGTGGTTTTGATTTTTCATAAACCTGCACTAACCAGACATTTCTTAAATTGCGGACTTGGTATTTTAAATAATTTCGTTTTTCTTGCTTTGCTTACATATGCAGAGAAGTAGCTCTGGTATTAAGCAGCGAGGAAAAGTTGTACGTACTGCTTGTTCGCGTCACATTTGATGGATCAGGTTGGATAATGAAGTAACTTTTGCATAAGGCATGCATATGTTGATAGTCTTTTCAGTGCTGATTTGTTGACAAAATTTCTTGTGTTGGTTATCAATTTTCATTATGGTGTGCACTTTACTTCTCTGCAGAGAGTACTTTGGATTATTAGGTTCCCATAGGGTTGAAGATATAAGAGCAGTTTAGTTGGTCTGAGCCTTCAGGTTGTGAGGTTAGTGAATAGTGATTTGTAACTTCGATGGAATTTTAGATACTTATCATTCCTCTAACTGTTTCTATTTTCTATTGTTGTTTAGGGTGAATATTGAAAGGAGTGTAACGTACTTGTTCATAACAAGGAGCTTCAAGAAATCAATTCAACTACTTTACACGTTGAAACTTGCCGATTTATCTGCACGATTCTAAATGTTCTTAAGGAGGTGATTTCAATACTCTTTCACTTAACCGTGAAACTTGATGCTTAACATGCCATATGCAATTGTCTGTATTTATGTGATGTAAAGATTTATATGAACATCGTAAAATGAATTTCATAATATGAAGCATGAACACTTGTCTGTGGAGTATCCAAGTGCCGAACACTTGTTCGACAAAACATTGCTCTGATGCGGCAAAATACATTGGAAACGCAATGTTAAGCCTGGAAGAAAATCAGACAGAAATGTCTGGTCATACTCGGGGGCATGATATTTTTGTTGAATACCAGAAAGAGTAGGATTAGAAAAGGAATTTTTAACCTAAATGTATGGATTGAAAACCGGGGGGAAAGAAGCATGAGGTGGTACTAAATGAGACAGGTATTAGAGTACGATAATTTAGGACCTTTTGTCCTAATGATTTTTTAAGGTTCAAGTTGCATTTTTATTGTAGATTATCTTGTAAAAGTTTTTTTTAATTGTTGTCTTGCCGGATTTGTCTCCTAATTTTTAGAATTTGCCATGTTACCATGTGCGTTCTGTGTTCTACTCGTATTACGCATTCTTGTTGGTACTTCCTAGATTTAATATTGGTCTTTTTTTTTATATCTGTGTTTTCTTTTTCTCCCCTATATCTCAGTGAATGTGGTTAAAGTTGCATGCAAATGTAAATTTCTGTCCAAAACTGCTCTATATCAACAACTTACATCAAATGGGACGAGGAATTTAATAATGATTAGTTTTGATGTCAATAACTGCCATACAAAGTACATTTCTTTTTCATGATAGATTGAGGTTTGGAAATTTAAATGGCAGTTTGGAGCAGGTTCAGGTTGAGTTATTTGAGAAACAAATATGTGGAGGTTTAAAATTGAGCATTTCCCAATACTCGATGGTGCTTTTCCAGAAAGGTGGTAATGAAGGTATGTTCAGTGAATTTTATCTTGTCATGACTTGTTATATTTAATATGCTTGTCATCTATAGCTTATATCCTATAATTTTGTGTGCTATGGGGAGGGTAGATACTGCTCCAAGCAAAGTGATGAAAATTCAAAGGCAGAGAAACAAACGGCAATGTAGTTTAGAGTCAGTTTTGATATGTTTTTGTTCTTTGAAAAATTTTGTTCTTTCAGTCCAGATAAATTTTGGTTGTTATTGATATGCAACTTTAGATGAACAGAATTGATTTTTTGTAATGACACGACTTCTACGTTGTATACAACTTAGTTGCCATTTGTGATTGTAGGATTGTTTAAAGGGTGCGAATCAGGTGGTATTTGCAGATGATATTGTTTGTTAAAGAGACCGAATTTGCTTCTTTTTTTGTCTAGAATCATTGTCTAGTCTGTAGGACTGTCATAATTTCCTTTTCAGAGGTCTAAAAAGTAAAATTGTTCCAGTTTGTCCAGAATATCTTTGGTATGCTTTCATGAATATCATTAATTTTCTTTCTTGCATGTATCATAGTTGTCGATGCTGATGCCTTTGTTCTTGTGCATACATGTGTTCAGAGGAAAAAGTGGTCGTATGATATTATATTTAGCATCCTTTTTTGGTTGCCTAAGCATAGAGACATAAACCTTGGACTTGATAATGCTTAATCTTCATGTGAAAACAGAGGAATCATGGCTTTCACGATCACTGTTTGTAATTGGAGGACAAGTGATTGTGTGTGTTGAAGACATTATTCAGTTCAGTTTGATCCTAAATGATGAATGTTCACCTCCATATTTCTCCCTGGATTCATGCTGCAACGTTGCTGATGTATCTAAGATGGTAACTTTTATAGTGCCTTGTTTTGCATTCTGCAACTAATATGTTATGTTGTTGATGAAATCGGTTGCTGTAACAGTCACAATAGCAGTATATGGCCATATTTTTTAGTTTCTACTTGTTATCCTTGCTATCAATGTCAAGGTCAAGAAAGATAATTACTGATCTGATTTCCACTCTAGGTTATCGATAACAGAGGGAGGCATTGTGTGACGTTATCTCTCGAGTGCAGCACATCAAAGGCCTGCTCCTCAACGAAAATGCAAAAGGAAAATAATGTAGCGAGGTCTCGGATGTGGAAACTGAGGTGGTTCTCGGAAGAGTGTCTATCCCAGTTTGTGGCATTGGTGAAGGCAATCCATCTAGGGATTACTTCATCTCCTTTGCATGTAAGATTTGAATCATGAGAGCTTTATGTTTTCGGGTTTTGCATGTTCCTTGTTACGTAGTATAGTCATTTCATCCTTTCGATTGGGTGCTTTCTTGTGTTTTCCTTTTCCTCTCTCTCAGAATTATGGGATTTTGTTTGGTTATGGTGTGTCGAGTACATAACTTTGTTTCAGTGTTCTTTGATTTGTATTCTTTTAGAAGTTAAAATTTTACTTGTACAGACAGTACAGTATATAGAATAGCAAAGCAAGTCGATGTATGGATGTCAAGCCTTTAGTGATCGTAAAACTTTCTGCAACTTTTGATCAAAGCAGTCAAATGTCATCCAGATTTTCATGTTTAGTGTTAGACTTAATAATCTTTGCATTCATATCATATTTGTATCATTTTCATGTAACATTATCTAATTAAGGTATTCTAATTTTTTATATAAAATTTTACTTGATAATCAATGTATACTTTCACTTGTGATGTGTTTTGAGTAATTTTTTAGGGATAATGTCACATATGATGCTTGTAGTTTCATAAAAATGTTGTAGTATTTATGTTTTGATAAAATTCTAATGTGGTACTTGCATTTTGACCAAATGTTCAATGTGGGAAAAATTGTATTTTCAAAATGTCCAACGTAGTACCTTTATTTTGAATAAATATTTAATGTGGTATTTGAATTATCACTTCACGTTATTATGGTACTTGGATTAACACCATATTTAGTGTAAATTAATAAAAAGAAATGAGATAAACTACTACATATGTTATTAAATTATAAGTTTAATATCAATTTTTGTCATTAAATTTTAGATTGATATAATTGTATTATCAAATTTCAATTTTGAGTTCAATTATAGTTACTCTGTCCGGACTCCATTCTTCATGAGACAATAACTCTTTAGTTTTGTGGCCCAATTGAATAGATCATCTATAATCACTAAACCTTTTCATAAACAGTTCCGATTAAATGTCATTTCTTAAAAATAGTATACAAGTCACATACACCAACTACCATTACCATATTGATATAAAGAAGAGTTTGCAAGCTAGCAAATACAATACAGAAGATTTGACATACAAAACAAATGCTGTCTAAATATTCTCAATTTCTTGTCAGCTTATGTACCTAAAAAGAGAGGATTTATTAATGGTTAATGGTTAAGTAATATAATGAACAAGGTTAGGCGAACAGCTGCAGAGAATACTATCCAAGACCATGTCCAATCATAGGATTGGTGGTGCCGTGTTGTGATGCCTACTTAACATTACTCCATCCCTCACCCATGTGCTCACTCATTAAACAATTTGTTACTTTTCCGCATTAAACAAAGCTCCAAATATGCCCGAGCACTGCATTTTTTTTTCTTATGGATTGATTCTAACATGATGGTGGCTGTTAAATCACTATAGTTAACTTTATTTTTTTCGAAAACAACAATTGTATCATAGTTAAGTGACCTCTTTTATAATTTTATAACTATTACAATGATTATAATATTATAATGATCATTTTGTAATAGTTTGATAAGTTTAATGATTATTTTATAATTGTTAAAATTTTAATGACTAAAAAGATTATTTTATCGTAAGTAAGTGATCACTTTTATAATTTTTAGAAATGAAATAAAAAAGAAAAAAGGGAAAGGGAAAATTATAAATTTGGTAACTGAACATTTCTCTCTCCTATTTCACTTACTATACTTCAAATCTTTTCAATTTTCTCACTAAACTTAATAAATTGGGTTTTTTGGTCACTCATTCGTTTCCTCACTAACGACGTTATAAATGGGCTTTTATATAGATGTAAAATGACGTTGTTTTGGTAAAAAAAATTATTTTTCTAAAAAAGTGTTGTTTTAACGCCGTTAACCATATAACGGTGGAGTGACAAAAAAATCTAATGAAAAAATTTAGTGAGAAAATTGAAAACTTTTAAAGTTTAGTGAGCAAAATAGTAGAAAGAGTAATGTTAGTGATGAAATTTGTAGTTACCAAAGTGAAAAGAGCCAAATAGGCAGTAGAGTATGTGATGACACTTGTCCCATCAGGTATCTCGACTCATGAAAATTTGCATCTGTTGTCCGATAGTGATATGTGAAGAAGCACTAAAAGTAAAAGCAAACACAAATAAACAAAAACATAAAATCTCCCTTTGATCGCTCAACCACCATCTTTGCATGCTCATATATCATCAATCCACCATCTCCATTCAGTAACTCACCAAACAACAAACGCGGCCTCTGTTTCCTCTCTCTATCTGATAATGGGGAATGCAGCTTCTTGTGCGCCGTCGATTACTTCAAGTGGCGGAGCAGTGAAAGTGGTGTTCCAGATGGGAATTTGCAGATATACACGAAACCGATCAAAGCAGCCGATCTGATGGTGGAGAATCCAGGCCAATTCGTGTGCTATTCCAGCAGTTTAAGAGTCGGTTCCAGGGTTTATGGATTAACGGCGGATGATGAACTAGAGCGGCGCCAGGTTTATTTCCTTCTTCCCATGGACCTGCTTTACTCCGTGCTGACTCAAGAGGAGATGAGTTGGCTCAGTTACAACGCTAACAAGGCGTTGAAACATGCCGGCTTTAACATCGGGAGGATCTTCCCCGTCGTCTTAACCGAGTTCTGTATTTTCCCGTTCGACGCGAAGACGGCGCCGAAGAACTCGGTCGTAAACGGTGCGGAGGATTCCGTCCAGAGGTTCTCGAAGCAGAGATCGTGGAAGCCGGCGTTGGAGACCATTCTTGAAACTCCCTCCTCGTAGGCAATGCCGACCAACCAATTAATATTAATTGCATAATTTGCCTTTGTGTATTGTTTTCCTTTTTACATTGTTTAAAATCTTCTCCTAACTATATTCTCGAATAAATTATACACAAAGAAGATGAGAAAAGATTAATGACAGACTGTATGATAGCTCGGCCTCCCTGTTTGCATGATATAATAAGAACTATTGTTTACATAAATTAATTGCAGGTTTCCTGCACCCACTCAAAACTTGGCACCTAACTCTTCTGAAATTGTAGTTAAATAGGATGGTGAATTTGCACTCTGATCACTATAATAAGTCTTTGACCTTTAGTGCATATCTATAATTTAAAATCAAATTATGACCATCCACGCTTGTAATTTTGTTGGGTCTAATTACACCAAAAGAAATATCATGAACCTTATACTTTGTTACACCACGTTCATGTCACACAATCAGGCATTTTTTTGAGACAAGAAGCAATATCTTAGTATTTGAGATGGACAGTGATCCTCAGCAATGTTGCGGAAGACGGTTATCGATAGAGTAAAATCGCAACTGATAATTTGAGAAAATAAAAATGAAGATAAAAGAGACACAAAATTTACGTGGAAAACCCCTAAAATTTAGGGTAAAAACCCGGGCAACGGTAGAAGAATTTCACTATGAGAAAAATAGGAATTACAACCTCTCTCGATCTACCAAGGAGAAAACAATGATAATTCTCTCTTGATAAAAGGAAAAAAAAATAACTCTCAAGAAACTCTCTAAATTTCTCTAGTATTGGAAGAAAGCTAGAATGATTTGGGGGTTTTGAAGCTAAATGAGCTAGGGTATTTACAGTTGAAACTTAAGGACTAATCTTGTAAATACCCTAGAGTCTAATGACTAAAGTTTGTGATTTGCCATACAAAAATCAATAAAATTTGCAGCCATTTGGACTAGAATAGCCGCCCATTTGCCATTCCCATTTTCCATTTTTGACCAAAGAATTCTGCAGCCACCAAATTTGACATTTGATTTTAACAATCTCCCACTTGAAGATTTGATTGGAACATATCTTAACACCATTCTTTCTACCATGTACCTTCATGTTGCTTACGTCTCTGACAGGCCACAAGAGGATCGACACCAGGTAAATTTATCAGCGTTGATCGCCTTCGTCATGAAATTTGCTATGTTATCTTTGGTATGGATCTTCTGCATATCTACTGTCCATTCTTTCACCTTTTCACGAATGAAATGGTACTGAACTCGTACGTGTTTTGTCCTTGAATGAAATGCTGGATTCCTTGCTAGATGCAAGGGCTTTGACTGTCACAAAACAGAGAGACATATTATTGATTGTGCCCAAGCTCCTCCAATAGCATCTTCAACCAAATTGTTTTACTGGCTTGTGTAGTTGCTACATATTCTGCCTCTGTTGTGGATGTAGCTACAATTGACTGTAATTTTGAAACCCAGCTTATAGCCCACAGCAACTTTGAACACATATCCTGTAGTAGATTTGCTTTTATCCAAATCCCCTGCATAGTCAGAATCTACATACCCATTGATTAGTAAGTTTGATCCTCCATAATATAATGCAACATTTGAGGGCCCTTTGATGTTTCTCAGATCTTTACTGTATTCCAATGCTCTTTGCCTGGATTCGCCCATGTATCGACTAATCACTCCCACTGCTTGTGCAATGTCTGGTCTTGTGCATATCATAGCGACATTAAACTTCCACTGCTGAGATACGGTACGAGACATCTCCATCCTCTTCTTCACTGCTAGGACTCATACTGGAGGATAATTTGAAGTTAATAGGAAGAGGGGGTAGAAATTGGCTTACAATCTTGCATGCTAAATCGTGACAAGATTTTCTTCAAGTAATTCTTTTGTGAAAGCCAAATCTTCCTATTACTTCTGTCTCGGTGAATTTGCATTCCTAGAATCTTGTTTGCTGATCCCAAGTCCTTCATTTCAAATTCCCTAGCCAGTTGTGCCTTCAATTCTTCAATATGATCTTTATTGGGTCCTACAACCAACATGTCATCCACATACAACAGCAATATAACAAAATCGTTATCACCAGACCTCTTGAAATAAGCACAAGGGTCTGCATTAAGTCTGTTGTATCCAAGGTACATAATGAAGGAATCAAATCTCTTATACCAACACCTCGGCGACTGCTTTAGACCGTACAGAGATTTTTTCAACCTGCAAACCAAGTTCTTCTTTTCGTCTTCTTCAAAACCTTCAGGTTGGAGCATATAAATCTCTTATTCAAGATTTCCATGAAGAAAAACTGTTTTAACATCTAGTTGCTCTAGATGTAAGTTCAATGTAGCACACATTGCCAAAACTACTCGAACTGTTGTTAGTCGAACCACAGGAGAAAATATTTCATTGAAATCAATACCTTCCTTTTGAGCATATCCTTGACCACCATTCTTGCACGATACCTCTCAACTTGATCATCACCATTTCACTTGATTTTGAAGACCCATTTGTTACCAATTGGCTTCCTTCCTTGTGGTAGTGGCACAAGGTCCCATGTATTAATTTTATAAAGGGCTTCAATTTCTTCTTGCATCGCCATCATCTACAGTGAAGCATCTGAGTTATTTATTGCCTCCTGGTATGTTGATGGCTCACCGTCCTCTGTTAAAAGGCAGCATGCAATATTACCTTCTATAACATAATCTGAGTGCCAATTGGGACATCTTCTAATACGATCTGATTGACGAGTTGTTAGAGCTTCAGAACTCTCTGGTTCTTGTTCATCATGTGCTGGTTCTTCTTCAGAAGAATCTCCTTGTTCAACCTCATTTTCCATGTATCTGTGTAGTCTCTGACTTTTCAGCATTATCGTCTTCTTTTCTTTGTAGTTTATCCTTTACAAAGATAATATCCCTGCTGATGATCACTTTATGGGCAGTGGGATCCCACAAGCGATACCCCTTTACACCATCAGTATACCCCAAGAATTTGCATTTCCTGGATTTTGGATCCAGCTTTGAAATTTCTTGGGCGTTGTACATCACGTACACAACTTCCAAATACATGGAGGTTTGATAATCAGCTGGTTTATCAGTCCACATCTCCATTGGTGTCTTCACTCTATTGCAGTTGATGGAGCTCGATTCACCAAAAAAGGCGGTATTGACTGCTCTACCAGAATGATTTTTCTAGGCATGCATCCCTCAACATTGCTCTTGTTCTTTCTAACAAGGTTCTGTTCATCCGCTCTGCCACTCCATTTTGTTGAGGAGTGTTCGCCACTGTGAACTGTCTTTTGATGCCTTCTTTCCTGCAAAAGTCATCAAATTCTTCGCTTGTGTATTCTCCTCCATTATCTGTTCTGAAACACTTGATCTTATTTCCAGAATCAAGTTCCACCGCGCTTTGAAGTTTTTAAAAGTTGAAAACACATCTGACTTCTTCTTAATAGGGTACACCCAACATATCGTAGAGTAGTCATCAATAAATGAGACAAAATATTTTGCTCCGCCAAGGGATGTAGCTGGTGCTTGCCATACATCAGAGTGGACCAATTATAGAACACTTTTGCCTCTAGAATTTGATGTGTTGAATTTCAACCAGTGCTGCTTACTTGTTATGCAATGCTCATACAAAGGAAGTGATACATTTGTTAAGCCTGGAAGTAGCTTTTGCTCCACAAGGACTTTCATTCCTTGTTCTGACATGTGTCCAAGTTTCTGATGCCATAGCATTGCAGAATCTAAACTACATGAGGCAACAGAGGCTTCTTCTTCTAGCAAAGTCTCTCCCTTCAGCATGTACAAGTTTGCTGCTATCTTTTCGCCTTTCAGCACCACAAGCGCTCCACGGAACACCTTCATGATTCATTTCCGTGTTTCAATCTTGCTTGCATTATTATCCAACAATCCGTAGGATAATAAATTTTTCTTCAGGCCTTTCACGTGCCGTACATCTCGAACAACTTTAATTGTTCCATCATACATCTTCAATTTGATGGTTCCCATGCCAATGATCTCTAAGGCATGATCATTGCAACTATACACAGATCCTCCTGAGACAGGTTCATAATGATGGAACCATTCTCTTTTTGAGGTTATGTGATTTGTTGCTCCCGAATCAATGAGTCATATGTCTACATATCTCTTTCTACCTTCCACGGTGGTTGACGCTTCACAGCATAGAGCATCTCCATCATCTGAAGTGTTTGCAGTGTTGCCTTGTGGATTGGAGTTTTTATTTAGACTCCAACAATCCTTCTTCAAGTGACCCTTCTTTCCATAGTTGTAACACTTTAAATTCTTCTTGCTCCTCGACTTCGATCTACCATGTTTATGACTGCTGCTTTGGCCACGTTCCGTTGATCTCCCTCTCATTGTTGTCAACGCTTCTGCTTGTTGCAGATTTACTTGTCTGTCTTCCTTGTTCTTGCACCGATTTTCTTCTTGTAGAACAACAACTGCAACATCATCGAAGACTAGACTGGTGACATTACTGTTTGTCAAGTTGATGATGAGTTGATCATACGAATCAGGTAGACTTGAAGTAGAAGTTCAGCACGTTTGTTCTCCTATGTACATCTTAGGGATGTAAGCTGAGAAATAAAGCGTTCAGCGTGTTTAAGTGCTCCGTCACTGAAGTAGATTCTGACATACGTAGAGTATGCAATTTCCTCTTAAGGAAAATTTTATTGTGCAACGATGTGGCCTCGTACAATTTGGTGAGATGATCCCATATCTCCTTAGCTGTCTTCTTCTCCTCGATGCTTGACAATACTTCATCTGCTAATGCTAGATGAAAGTTTGCCATAGGATTCCCGTCCATCTCGTTCCATTTGATGCCATCTGCGAAATCCACCGGCCTTTCATTGATAGCCGCTAGACACCCGTCTTTCCTCAGGATGGCCTTCATCTTTAATTTCCACAATGAGAAATTTCTCCCATTGAACTTTTCAATATCAAATTTCGTTGACATAGCTTCTTTTACGGATAACTCCCACAATTTCACTATCGTGAATAGTTCTCTGG